CTACCCTACTAATGAAGCAGAGAAGCGAAATTCAAAGGCTCACTTTTTCGCTAGACACAATAATAGAATATATCGACAGAAAATAATGTGGCCAAAAATATAACTTCCTAATTGCAGGCACAGCACTTTCAACCTTCAAATCATTCGTCCGATGCTCTTCTAACTGAGCTACAGCAATGGTCATCTCCCTGTCCACTTTATTAAATCATCATCATCATCACCAGCCTGACTACGCCCACTGCAGGACAAAAGCCTCTTCCATGTTCCGCCAGTTAACTCGGTCCTGTGCTTGCTGCTGCCATTTTATACCCGCAAACTTCTTAATTTCTTCTGCCCACCTAAACTTGTGTCCCCTCCCCTTCACCCACTTGCCTTCTCTTAGACTACAGTCTGCGATCCTTAATGTCCAGAGGCCATCTTGCTTTCGTGCTATGTGCCCTGCCCATGGCAACTCCCTCTTAATTTCGGCCATGATATGTCCTTAGCACCTGTTTGTTCTCCGATACTCTTTGCCTTGTTCTTGTCCCTTAGAGTTGCACTTCACATTTTCTTTTCCATCGCTCGCTGCGTCGTCCTCAACCTAAGTTGAACCATCTTATGGAGTGTGCATGTGCAATAGAATCTGGCAGTGTTTGCGCCGCCAGTGGCCATGACGGTGGGTGTGGAACACTTTCTCTGCCAAGTGATGTAACGTAGCACGTGATGTTTTTACAAGTTCACAGCTGACCAATAATTTCTCACATACTGCCTGAATTCAAAGTATTAGTGAATTTAAATTATTACTTCCTGAATTTACGACAGCGCCCATTCTGTCATGTATATCTCTTCTTATCCTCGTCAAATGTAGTGCTACAATTTTCAAGTCAGAATATACGACCAACTATCCCCGCAACATGTTTCTTTATTAGTGCCTGAAGGCTTCAGAACGATACCCTCGTTATGAATAATGTAAATAAAAAGTTTAGGGCCCGTTTTTCTTAGTTTTCTTTTGACGCAATATTGACGACAGCCTAAGCCAGGGAGGGGGGATGATATGAAAGAGAAAAAGCTCGGTGAATTAACAATAATTAAGAAAACTGCAGTAGAGCTCATGTTCATTTTTAGCACACGCATGTAACATGGGATTCTTGATTAAAAACAAAAGTTAAGAGAAAAAGCCGAATTGGGATCAAAACTGCCATGTGTGCCTCCAGATGGGAAGTGACAAGGAAAAGGGGGGGGGGGGGGGATGTAGTTGATGACGTGCCAGGTGCCTACCCCAGGTCTGTATAGTAGATTTGAAATGCGCGCGAATACACTTCATTCGTCTTACAGACCACTTAACATGCCGGCCATGAACGCGGAAAGCTAGATTATGATTTCCAGTGGATGATTGCGATTCGAAAGCACCATTAAATTATTGGTTGTTATTGGCGTGCAGCCAAGGCGGGTGCGGAGTGTTCAACGCCACCCTCCTATCACACGGGAATTCGCAATTTCGCATGCATACATAAACATGAACACATGCAAACAAACTCAGGTATCAACATGAATAATCTTTAACACCCCCTCTCCTCCGAAAATGATTTCTGACTACACCCTTGCTGGCTGACAAATATGTTTTTCTATACTACGGAAGTGCACGCTGTATCAGCAAGTGCAGCTCGTCTAAAGAAAACGATAGGGAAGTACAATTTTCGGGCATAGTTATGTCATTTTTTTACTGAAATGCGCTTTGTATAAGAATGACGGGAGCAGTTATATCATTTTTTTACTGAAATGCGCTTTGTATAAGAATGAACTTCGAAATGCTTGCCAAGTCACGAGAAAGCGACGGCCCCACCGCACGCAGTGGTCTGGTGGCTAACGTTCTCGGCTGCTGACCCGCAGGTCGTAGGATTGAATCCCGGCTGCGGCGGCTGCATTTCCGATGGAGGCGGAAATGGTGCAAACCCGTGTGCTCAGATTTGGGCGCAAGTTAAAGAACCCACGGTGGACGAAATTTCCGGAGCCCTCCACTACGGTGTCTCTCATAATTATGTGGTGGTTTTGAGACGTTAAACCCCACATATCAATCAATCAATCAACGAGAAAGTGACGTGGAAGTTCCACGGTGAGTAGATGAGTTTGGGCCGTTAACTTTCTCCCTTTCCTCGCGCACGCCGGCGAACTTGGAAACTACGAGGCGCACTAGTATGAGCCAACTAGCCTGCTTCTCATTATACGCTGAGGGCATCTCGCAGATCATCCAGGAAAAGAGCTCGCGCATTCCCTATGCCTAACATACGAGCAAGCGATTGCGACCATATGGGCTACACGACCGACTTAAAGCTGTACGAGGTGCACGAACTCACCTAGGCCTGGAAAGAAGGGTCGAAGCTTTGCGGTGGAGTCTGGCGGTGAAGAGGACTGTCGGTATAGATGCGAACAGAACGTCTGACCGTCGCGAAAACCCTGAAAGCGAATGGGGGCTCGTGACAGCTCGAGCAGTGGTGATCTTGTTCTTCTTCATCTATTACCCGTAGTGCATACCCACTGTGGGGGATCGGCCAAGAATTGGGCGGTTTTATAAAATAATGTGCAATTTCAGAATGATGAAAATCATATCGTAAGGAGATTACAGTGGTGATGGCTATGTTGGTTGTCGCTGTTGTTTGTTGTTTTCTGACCATGGCTAATACCCAATGCAGAGGATTGGTGGAGTAGTTGGATGAATGAAAAAGTTAATTGAGGTCCTGAAGAATTCCACCTCCGTTTCATACAGAGAGGATACCCACACGAATACGTTAATTAGGTCCGAATCCGTTAACTGGGGGGCCTAGTCTGGTAGTGTTCTTTTTGTTAGGTCCCATATGAAAAAACCATAGATATAAAAATAAGTCAATGTGTTGATTTGAATTGAAAATTAAACGCGGTAGAAAATTTCAAGCCGGCAAAATTTTGTACAATATTTTTTTTAGTTCTAATAATAAAGATTTCAATGGCTGAATCCCGGAGCAGTCCTCCGTAACGACAAATCTGGTTCTGTTTATTTCAAGTCCTCCTTTGGAAGAGAAGATAATGCCTTAGCACTGTTTTTCTTTTTATCAGGAAACGGTGACATTATATAAAGAAGGAATCCATCGTTTCCTCCTATTACAAAGTGTGCACAGCAGGAAGTCACTAAACCTGCTTTACGCATGTCAAAATTAACTAAGCACGTATGTGTAGTTAAACGGTGGATGATCATCCACTTATATTTTGCGTACAAAGTACGCGAGATATGCTGAGAACCGGGCGCTTGTAGACAACGTAAGATTGGCCATCAAACAGGTAAAGAAATAATGAAAACAGTGAGAAATAAACATGCATCAGCTGAAATAGTAAGAACTGCAAATATAACTTTCAGCGCAGTGCTTTGGCATCGGTTCTTTGGTGAGGCATCATACGATTTCTTTGTCACAAAGTAACACAGCGCAGCGAAAGATGATGATGCTGTTATGTGCGGTTTAACGTCCCAAAACCACCATATGATTATGAGAGACGCCGTAGTGGAGAACTCCGTAAATTTCGACCACCTGGGGTTCCTCACCGTGCGCCCAAATCTGAACACACGGGCATACAGCATTTTCGCCTCCATCGGAAATGCAGCTGCCGCAGCCGGGATTCGATCTCGTGACCTGCGGGTCAGCAGCCGAGTGCCTTAGCTACTAGACCACCGCGGCGGAGTCGCGGCGAAAACCCCGCATGACTCCTGTTTGCTACGGATGTGAGTCTCGCGAGCGCAACTGCCCTTAGATGGTCGTTGACTCTCTTTTTAAAAGTCGTGTGTCCCATGACTCTCCTAAACAGTTAGTGTGGCACTCCGAGAAGTGCTATACATTCCATGCATCTTCTAATGAGAGTCAGCGTGACTATCTAAAATGTGTTACTGACCTCATGACTCTCGTAAATATGGTCAATTTGACTCTCTAAATTGTTAGTCGCATCACACTACTCTCCCAAGAGAGTCCGATTGATTCTATAAAAATCGTTACACATCCCATGACCGTTCCGAGCAGAGTCAACTGGGCCCTGTCAAAACTGTTATAAATCCCACGACTCTTCCAAATTGTCACCCTGACTCCGTTTACGCCTTACAAGAGGTCGTCTTATCGCATATCTCTTCGTGATGCACGTCGTACACACCGCGAGCTGTCACTTAATGTGGTCTGTAGTGCTACTTCGTGTAGTACACAACGTCATTCAGAAACAACAACAAAGTCTGTATGCACACAATACCGAATTTGCTTTCAATTTGTTTGCAACTTTAGGCGCCGCTACAGAGACTGCACACTGGGAATCAATGAAATGATTTCGCCGAACACCAACACTCACTGACACTCATTAGAAAACGCACTTGAAGTGCGTTCTCAAGTGAGTTTCACTAAGCGCACCTGTGCGGCGGCTGTGAGAGACGTTAGTAGTAAAGTCCGCTTTCTCACAAAGTTGAGCGAAAGCAATGTTCAGTAGCGAAAAAGAAAAGGTCACTTAAAGCACAAGAAAGTAAACCTGTCGGTCTTCTTGAGTTTTTACTGTGCTGAATCTTCGCGGTACTCGTGAATGTTTTAAGCGATAAACCAACTGAACCAATCCAAAGCTTTATTGAACTGTTTGCCTGTGGGACATGCCCACTGGTTGGACATCCTCGTATTACATGAACTCCTGGCTTAGGTTTCGACAGCTATCACCTATACACTGTGCAGGGGATATTTCGCACATATTTAAGGAACCGATCAATCTGCTAACTACACTCTCTTTGCCGGACTTTAACCAGCCTTTAAGAGGTTTCGGCTTTCATTGTTTCGGATTTTACTGGCATTACTTACGTATTCCTAATTTCTACAAGGTCCCAAGTCCTGTATAAATCAGGCAAACGGAAGAACATGCACAATGATAAACTCATCACGGCTTTTCTTTCACAAGACTATAAGAACAAATGAGCTGTTCGAGTTCACTAAAGACGAACATTGGTGATCCTCAGGTAGCGCGCATTGGCTTGCCAGCAGTCGGGGTTCAGCGCATCAACTTGTGTGACGTCATTCCTCCAGCAAACCACGGAACGCCGAATGATGCCCGTCAGCACGAAATACTTTTCCCGTAGACGAAGCTCGGCAGAAGCTTCCTCGCGCCGTGCTTCGTCGTCCGACATCCTGGCGACTTCAGTTAAGTGGCTCGTCAGGCAGGACCATCTGCAGAAAAGCTCTAAGCACTTCGCGCTGTGCCGGTCTTCTCGGCGTTGCAGGACAAACTCGACGGCGCGGTTAAGTGCGAACTTGTTCTTTCGCACCGACTCGAATATGTCGGATGGGACGTGGGTGCGGTGGCCTGCCCAACATTTGAAACTGACGATCAGCCTGTTGGACGACATTCCTTGAGCGACCGAATCCATGAACCATTCAGATTGATCGACAAACAATATGGCCGAGATATTCGTGATGGATTTGTTGCCTGATTGATTGATTGATTTGTGGGGTTTAACGTCCCAAAACATTGTTGCCTGACAGCATGTCGGAAAACGCCTCTATTGTTTCCTCTGCAGCTGCCACCCGAAGAGTCATGTCAACTTCGGCTATAGCTGTGTTGATGGTCAGCGCACGCAAAATCTCATTCGCAGACTCCCCGTTTCCAAATTCGATGCAGAGTGTCTTGATGTGTCGATTCTTCTTCGACGCTTCGCATAGCAGGCAAACTCTGGCGTCGAGACTGTGCTTGACGTCAACAGTCAGTCTGTTTACCAGCTTGTTGGAGGCTAGTGCACTGAAAAGATCGCTCAGGGTTTGTACCGACAGCTGACCGACATTCGACAGCCAGATCTCCTATGGACTCGTCTGTGATGATGCCTGCACTGGTGACAGAATTTTGACGTAATCTTCTGTCCAAGGTGCACTCGGTCATAACACTGGTCTGCAAGTAGCTGCTGCGCCAGAGAGGTTCTGTAAAGAAAAACGAAAGGACGGCACGCTGGTAAACCATCACATAAACCGACACACACACACACACACACACACACACACACACACACATACATACATACATACATACATACATACATACATACATACATACATACATACATACATACATACATACATACATACATACATACATACATACATACATACATACATACATACATACATACATACATACATACATACATACATACATACATACATACATACATACATACATACATACATACATACATACATACATACATACATACATACATACATACATACATACATACATACACGTATACACTAGTATTCACAATGATACACCGGAATAAACAAACCATAAACGAGAAATAGTGTGATCCTTGTATTCAGTCTGCCCAGATGTTGGTTATCCGCATGACGTTATAAGCGATCGTAATTTCTCTAAAAACGAACTGGTTAATCACTGAAAGCATTTCAACGTCCCCATTTCAGCGCAAGACGAACGAGCGATAGAAGTTAGCTTTTGCAATAGAGCACTTACCGCAAATGTCGGAGAGTAAAAAGCGTTAACACTCACATTTTTTTTTTTGGAACCCATGAGTCCTGGAAGCAACAGTTTCTTTTGTTAACGTGCAGAGCTTTGCAGAAGAGTAAAACATCAGTCATGGATATGTTGCCGCTATATACTCGAATAAAGTGCAAAGTGTTGTTTTTCGACAAGGCTTCCGACCACTGACCCACTCCATCGCACTCCTCGAGAAACACTGCTCCCATGTAAAGTGCTCTCAGTGATCTGTTGTTTTCCAGCGCAGATGCTAAGGCTCACATGCAGCTGTCATTCATGAATACGCAGCACTGCAACGAAAGCTCATTTAGAAATTTGTTGACTTCAAGTGCGCTGAACAGCTCTTCGATCGAGCCACGCGTCTCAACGTACAGCGTTAGCTTCATCAAAGTGTTGTTGGATTCAAGAGCCCGAGCGATAACAGAAATTTCTTCCTGAAGAATCGGCTGGGCTGTGACTTCCTTCAATGTTTTCGAAACACTCATAAGCCTCACCAGTGGCTCCACATCCGGTATCCTGCTCTTATTGTGTGGCGACTTCATTGTGAGTGACTCGCAACCAACAAGGTTTTCAACCATCTTCATCCCATCGTGTTTCTGCGCACTGTGTTCGCAGATGTAGACCTTCTTAAGAGTGTTGCGGTTGCGCTCCAGAAGCGCCTCTATTTCTTCAGCAAAATACGAGTTGGTTTCGGCGGCGCCGATGAACAGCGTTTCGAGACCGATGATAGTGTCCATACCCTTCAATTCTATATTAGCGCTAGAACACTCGGTGATGTTCAATAAGCGAAGTCTGCGACGAGCTAGGTTTGACGAGTGAGGGCGGATGTCGATTGCGAAAGACGGCTGAGCCATGGGAACGCTGGTGCGAATGGCGCCCTTAACGCCCAGCTCCTTAATGCACGGGTCGTGACACAAGAGCTAGGAGACGATGAAGGAAGACTCACGCGCGGCAATCATGACGTCTCTGCCTACTTTCCCGTTGGTCATTTGATGCAGAAGCAGTGTCCCCGGTGAGGTCTCTAGTAACTCGAAGGCGAGCCCGTGCATCACCAGGTTCCACGCCCTCATATCGTCAGCCAGCCAGCAGGTCCCCTCGTGGCTGGCAGCACCACATGGCTAGTCAAAAGCCAGTTGTATCGTCCACTGTTCAGTAGGTAAGCCATCGTAACCTTCGCCATCTGACATCATCTGCGTGTAAGGTGATGGGGCGATGTGTAGCTGCAGGAGCTAACTGTTCAGGAATGAAGTGGTGCTGGACGTTGTTGTCGTTGTTGTCGTAGTTCTCCTATTGTTAGTACCCACTGTGGGGGATCGGCCAAGAATGGAGTGGTTTTAAATTTTACTGTTCAAATTTGGAATGATGGAGGTATAACAGAAAGATTACCGATAGCCTAGGCAAGTGTGGTGCTTAATGTAATGCATACAAATATTTACATAAACGAATTTATTCTTAGAATAGAGCAATAATCCGGTTTTACACGTATATAATTATGTGGACCTGTTAGGGTTAATGAAACTGGTTAATTAGTCTACCTATTAGTTTCATCAATATAGTCGCGGACGGCCGCGCATACTGTCGCATTAGAGAAACCAGAAATGGAAGCTCCAAAAGACAAAATGACAGGCAGAGATAAGTCCATACCAATGCCACGCAAAGGTATTTCTAATAGGGTTTTTCGTAATGTGTTAAACCGCCTGCAGGTCAAAAAGAAATGGTCTATTGTTTCCAGTTCATCACAGAATGCACACAGTGGCGAAGGTGCCTGAGCAGACCTGTGTTTATAGAAATTTAGATTTGGTACCAGGCAACGCAGCCTTGTGATAGCTACTTCTTGTTTTCGAGTGCGGCAAAAGTCTCTTCGCCAGGGATATAATAAATGGCGATATTCTGTAGAGTTTGTTAGTGCTAAACCTTTAAAGACTTGCATAAGCGTACGTCTGCGGAATCGAGCAGCAGTCACATAAGCGGATGATGGACAGAGCGGTAGAATTGGTTCGCTGATTGACGACTTAGCTAAGGAATCGGCTATTTCATTAAGAAACAAACCTTTATGTCCAGGCACCCAAACTAATCGCACTTTTCTTAAATGCGCAGGTACTAGTGCACGGAACGCCTTTGTTACGTGATTATCAGCACCAACAGAAAGTGCCGCACAGAGAGATATATATATAGGGAATCTGTTATTATGACAGCTGATGTATTTGCTGTATCTAACTTGCGTAAGGCGAGCACCACTGCCAGAAACTCAGCCACAAAAATGGGTATGAAATCGGGTAGTCGAAGGGAATAAATCCAATTTAAAATCGGGCTGAAAATACCAACCCCTGACTTTTCATTGTATTACGATGGGTCTGTAGCAATAATAACACTCGTTGTAATACGGCGCAGGTGATCTTGTAGTAAACCCTCCAAAATATTATGGGGAAGTAATTTGGGATTATTAGAAAAAATGTCGTCGAATTGAATTTCCACCGGGGCTAAATTATCAAGACTCGGCATGATGTCGCATATACGTACGTTTAGAGGCTCCAGTAAATTTTGCACAAATATAATTTGTGGCGTGTGAAATCACGGCCATCTAGCAGCAAAAAATGATTCCGGGGTGGAAATAAAGACTGTTTCTGAATGTCGTAATGGTGATTCATAAATTCTTAAGAATGTCTGAACAGTCAGAAAGCGAATTCTACAAGAAAGCGGAGGGACCCTCGATTCGAGATACAACACATTGTTGGCAACTGTTTTGGGAAGGCCAAAGCATAAGCGCAAAGCTTCTCTTTCCAGAAGAATTAGAGGCCGCATTTTGTAAGCTGGAACTCCATAGTAAAGTACACAACCAAATTCCATAATGGGACGAAGGTACATGCGATATATCATTACCAATGTGTCTCTTCTCATACCTATGCGGTAGTTGCTTAGCCTACGTAATATGCCAATGGCCCACACACCTTTTCCGGCGATATATTCGATATGAGGTTGGCAGTTAAGCGATGTGTGATAAATTACTCCAAGGTATTTAAGAGATTTCACCTGTGGTATATCCTCATGATGGTAAGACAGAGAGATGTTCACAGGGTATTGCAGCGGGAAACAAGGAGGGCATATTTACTAGGATTAAGCAAAAAGCTGTTGCCATCGAGCCAGCTCCATAATATAATAAAATAAGTCTGCAGCCGTTCATATGAGGTCTGAATGTTATCTGCCATTGCGAAAAATGCGATATCGTCTGCATAAACATAAGTTGTTATATCCTGTTTGCGTGGGATGGTGCTCATTAGTAAATTAAATAGCACCGGGGAAAGCACCGAGCCTTGCGGTGCTCCCCTCGTTTGGGTATGAGTAGATGATGAAAACCCATCTTTAAAACAATAAAATTTCCTGTCTGCGAGAAAATTGTGAACTAACGCTACTATGTATGATGGAAAATCAAAGTATTCTAATCGATCTATCAAAATACAGTGCTCCACGGTATCATATGCTTTAGCGATGTCTAAGGTAACTAAAGCTGCATATTTTTTATGTAGCCGAGCTAATTGAAGCCGACTCTCTAAATCAACCTGGGCATCCCAAATTGAGCAACCAGCCCTGAACCCAATTTGACAGGGACTTAGAATTGACCTCATGGCAATAAGTTCATTAATT